TTTGATCACATAAAATGACCAAATTACCCTCATCCAAAAAATCCTTTCTTCTTCCAATTTTTCAATCTCCCATTCATTCCGGTCAATACATAACCACTACTCACCCGGCACCACCACTCACCACCACCGCAACCTCCACAACCACCATCTTCTTCCCTGTTCCACCACCATCACACAAACCCAACACACATAGATCACACCATCCAAAAAAAAGACACAGAGATCGCCTCAAAAGGGGATCTCACGGCGAGCAAGGAGAAGCCCTCACCAGCCACCGCGAGTCCTCCACGGCTGAGCCATCCACAGTCAATCCAATTCCTAACTCACCTCACCCACCTTCGCCTCTCAGCCACTAGTCTCTGCATCGACAACATCATCGGCGTCTGCCACCTCACCCTCGACCGATACCCAACACACCAACCCTGCTCACAGATCCAAGATCCTCCTCAACGTTCTCCAATCTCTGCCGTCCATCACTGCCGCTACCGATCTCACTCCTTGCCGCCATTGATATCCTCAACTTTTTCCGATCTCTGCCGTCCATCGCTGCCGCCGCCGTTAATATAATGCCAAATAATTATATTGTTTGCCAAATAATTAGGAATATTCACACCATCGCATAACACAGAAAAACATTCGTTTTCATTTGCTATAATGATTTAACCAACAAAACAAAGAGAAAGACAATGTAGAACACTAATTAACCCACAGAAACAACAAATCTCTAACATTATATATATATATATATATATATATATATAATAGATAAAAATGGGGAGTCAAGAGTCAAGACAAAGCAGTGGAGACCCTTCACTATCCAATCAAATTATCACACACTTGGTGGGTCTCTCCTTCTCACTCACTGTTGTTTCTCTCTGCAGAAAGGGTTGAACCGTCAATTTGGTTTTGATACGGATTCGGGGTTTGAGGGTGTGGAAGAAGATGAAGTCGATTAAGCAGTTTGTGTGTGTGTGTGTGTGTGAGAGAGAGAAAAAAAAAAAAAAAAAGATGGGATGAAATGAGATAAGATGAGATCATGAGAGGAGAGGATAGCTTGGTCATTTTAGGTGAGATAAAAATATTCTTAGGGCATGTTAGACATTTTACGTAACTTAATGCTGTGTTTGACTCTGTTTTTTTAAAATTGTGTGTCATTGTTCAAGTTTGCAACTTTAGGGGGTGTCTTTGTCCAAAAAAGGGTTAAGTTGTATATGGCTGTCAATATGACAAATCTCAGGGGGTGTCGCTGTAATTAACCCTTAAAAATATCCTAGAGAACAAATATTTGACTCTACAGATTTTTCAAATAATTTCAAATTTCAGAAAGTAATTACAATATGTAATCAAATTTCCAAATTTTACTGAAAAATTTAGAAATTAATCTAGCAAGTTCGTGTGTGTGTGTGAAATCCAATCTAATCCATCGTTAGTTGAATTTCAACAGATCATTGTCTAAATCTTATTGATCGAAAAGTATCAAGATAAAATTATTTTGAGCAATTTTTCTAAACAAGACGGCTTTCACTCTAAAAAGTAGTCAACAATTCCCCAACTCAACTTATCTCCACTTTTAGTTTCAATTCACAGTTTAATGGGAGTTTTTGATAAAATCTCAATATATAGCCTTTTCCTTAGCAAAGTATTCAGCAAAATTCAAATTTTTTCTTTTTTTTCAAGTTAAATATTTTTCATTTTTTTTACGCTCCTATTTTTTTTTTTTCAGACAATAACCTTTATAACTTTTGTAAACAATAAACCCTAGTCAACAGATCAAAAGAATTTCAACCAAATTTGTCAGGGATGGACTAGTGCACAAAAATCTATGAATTTAAGAGATTCAAATCTAAAAATTCTCTAATCAATGCAAATCATCTTTCATTGTATAAATTATAGACCAATAATCTATTTTTATCCAAATTATCATGTGTCTTAATTTGCATTCAAAGATAGATCATAAATTCCTTAAAGAATTTTCATATGTATATCAAGAAGATTATGATCAGAAATTCAAAACCCTAACCAAACCTTAACAAGTGATTCAATGGCAACAAAATTTTCTTTTAAGCATAAGCCATGATCACTGAATTTTGTAGGACTCGGTTTGAATGTGAAGTCCTTTTGGAATCTAGTTCCATGGACTTAACAGGCACAAGATTGATTAAATCTGTCTTTTTTATCCAAACAGTCTTTACTCTTACTTCCTGAAATTCTCTCTCATTCTTTACCTTTTTCTTAGGCAAATTTACAGCTTTAGAAAACTTAGGTGGCACAAAATTCTTTTTCTTTTTAGAAAACACATTTTTCTTAGCTTGAATATTATGAGAATGAATTTTCGAAGACTTTTTCTTTTTCCTTTAAAAACATGAGTGATACTTGTGTCCAATCTTACCATAAAAAGTGCAATGCAATAGTTTAGGTATATCGACAGGTTTATCATTTACATATTAGAATGCAATGAATCAGACAAACATGGTTTAGGTATATTGACAGGTTTAACAAAAATTGTTTTACCTTGACCACTAGATGAAATTCTAACAAATCCTAACCTAGTCTTATCATTTACATCATTTCCCATGTTGATTATCTTATTCAAACTGTTTTGACTCATATTGAACCTTTTAAGTTTATCTTGTTCAGATTTCAATTCAATTTCAAGATAATCATTTTTCAAAGCAAGACATTCCTTAATGAGTTTGCAATACTTACCTTATCCTCAAGAATGATAATCTACTTCTCAAGCTCAGTGATGACAGAATTGCTTTCAAAAGCTTCCCTCTTGTTATCAGCAATCTGTTTCCTTAGATTTTCATTCTCTCCTTTTGCTTGGATAAACTCCTTTGCTAGCTTATTGATTGCCTGTTTCACTTCCATGGTTTCGTTGACCATCTTTTTCAATCTTTCATCGTCATTTTCAGCCTCTTCCACCTGTTCATCATGAACTTCATTGTCTTCGTTATCTGAATATTAGAGTCAGATAAAGTAACAACATGAGGATCTCTTTCAATAAAAGAGACATAAGAAAAATCATTAGTATCACCCTGGGGAGAATCATTATCACTTAAAGTAGAATTTTTAGACATAGAAACTTTCATTACTTTTCCTTTATTTCTATCCTTTTGTTCTTTCCTAGGATTAGGACAAACATTGGATGCGTGACCTTTGCCACCACAATTCCAACAAATGAATTCAGTTTCTTTTGATTCTTCTACTTTCTTTTCATTAAACCTAAACTTTGACGTCTTGTCAAAATTATGAGGATTAGCTATGTTGCTATTCCTTCTCCCCTGTTGTCTTTGCAAAATTTGATTGAATTGTCTTGACAAAAATGCAAGATCATCATCAGAGTTGTCATCCACAGAATTCTCAACCTGTGTAGATTTTAAAGCAAGATTTTTCTCTTTTTGATTTAAATCAAAGTTCTGCATCTCAAAAGTTTTCAATGAACCTATCATCTCATCAACTTTACAGGTAGTCAAATGCCAAAATTCAGTGATGGTTTTAACTCTAATCTGAAATCTACCATCTCATCAACTTTACAGGTAATCAAATCCCAATGAAATGTTTTGTTATTCAAATGCATAAATATAAAGAAAAACTATACTCTAATGAACTAAAAACCCAAATATAATTTTTAACTACAAATTTATTGGAATCAACTTTTAAAATGGTTTTCGTATGGGGTTAGGAGGATGCATGGTTCTAACTCAGAGCCCAGTTCTTTCTCAAAGGCCATTGGCCCACCTCTGATGTTACTGGAAGTCTGCAAGCATGTTAATATCAGAAGTTTTTGGACCCCATCCCGTTTAAAGCAACTTTATGACTCTTGGCCCACTTTAATAATATCTGAAGTTTTGGACCCAATTCCGCCTACAGCAACTTTATATGACTCTTAGCCCATATACCCATCAAACATGCAATTTTTTTTTATAGAGGACAGCGGACCGAACAAAGCAAACACAACCAAAAACACGAGCAGAAAAAGCGAAAACAAGGGTGAGCAGAATTGGAGATTCATCATTTAGAACGGACATACGAGTAATCAGATAACATGCAGTTGGTTCTTACCGCTGTTAGGCACTTTCATCTCCAAGAGTAGAGCTTGGGTAACCTCCAAAAGATGCTGATTTTTCCACTTGAGAATTTCATGGGTGTGGGATAAGGAGTTGATAAGAGCTTTTGATGCATAATTGATTATTGAGGTTTATATGGAGGGTTTGGACCACCAAAAGGCCGAACGTGTGGATCGACATAATTGTTTGGAATAGTTTTGACGAAATCATTCACTCGACAAGACCCTAGTATGATTGAAAATAGGCAACTCGACAAGTCAGTACCAAAAGTTGTTAACGCAGGTGCTTCTAAGCCAAATTCCATCATTTAGGATTTGGAAATTGCGATTTTTTCAATTTTAAAAAATTTAGATTATTTTTTAGAAACACAATCTCCGTCATTGTATAGCGTGAAAGATGCGTTTTCCAATTTGAATTCCATTTGATTTTTAGTAATTAGTAGTTTTTAATAATTAGGTTTCTTACTTATTTTTTCTTAATTTTTGGAGAAATTATTAATTCCATTTTATTGTTAGATTTTTCTATTATAATAACATGTACTGTAGAGAAAAGAATTAACTCAATTATTAGTAATATACCAAAAAAATTAAACTGTAAACTCATTTTACTTGCCATTCGAATTCAGGACGCTAACAAAATCCTTTTGAGTGCACCGGCCAATGGCCATTGCATGTAGACTTCGAATTCACGTTAAGCATGATCGCGCTGAACATGAAAAACGTGTGGGCACTTTGGGCCATGTTTCCGCCAGAATCCCATATGCTGGTCCACACGTCATGTCACACCCTATCCTCCACAAAAAAAACATATGAAGACTTCCTTCTATATGGTTCTAATTTAATCCAGCAGTAAGATAGATAGATAGATATATATATATATATATATATAATACGGAGTAATTACATATATACTTGCATTTATTACTAAGCCTCGGCTCCATACCTGTTTTAATGATTAATGGAGATTTAAATATAGTGAGAAAAAAACAATCACAATCTCTCTCCTCACATCATACAATGATTCCCTCTTCTCCCTGAGGCCTGAGGAGAGAGATGGCATACAAACTATCATCAGTAGCAGCAGCAAAATCAAGATGCAAGACGCCAACAAGTGACTCTGCAATTGCCACAATCTCTTATCACCTCAATCCTTGTGCCCCAAACAGAATAACCCATCTCACCATTTTCTCATCCATTGAACCCTCCTCCTCTTCTTCTTCTTCTAAATCAACGTTGACAAAGAAAGCTTTGAAAAATGAAACTTTCTCGTTTGTTTTCCGTGAGCATGACACACTTAAATCTAAGGAAGAGACCAAGACTAAGCTTACTGTGACTCCAGATTGTTGCCCAGAGGGTGTTCCAATTAGGTCCAAAAGGAGCCGACCTTTCTGGAGGAAATTCTTTTTTGGATCCAAAAAGATCAGGAGCATCATATTGCTTAATCTCATCACCATTGTCTATGGTATGCTTCTCTCTCATTGAATGTTCCGATTTGGTGACCCCCATGTTTACCATTACTAAGACTTGGTACTTCTTTAAAAGAAATTATGATGGATATATATATATATATATATGATGTATGTATGTTTGTATTTATTTATTTATGTAGTTTATGGTGATTCCTTCTGTGAATTCTGTGAGCTGAAGCTCTGATCTAAGAGAAACTGTGCTTGATATATACAATTTGCTCTGTTTGTTATCGTATCTTGAGTTCTGAATATTGTTTTAGTTTGCCATGCATGTTATAGCATTTTGTTTTTCTTGCAAGGCAAAATGGTTGCTTTTTAAAATTATAATAGTACTGAGTAATCCTTCTAAGGGTTGCAGCAAAATTAGTTAATATTTTAGTATCTAACTATACTCCTAAATGCCTCAAATCTTTTCATTGTAACCCTAATGTCCAAATATTTGCCTTTCCTAATATTGCTGCTACTCATGATCCGCATCCATGTGTGTGTATGTATAATTGTGTATCTTGATTTGAGGTAATGCGAATAAGGGACTTTTTCATGCCACGTTTTCTGTTAAATTAACCATTTGCTGATCATTGTTCATTCTTTTGCCTTACACAGTTATGACTGTCAGACAAAAATTGACAGATCACTATGCACCTAAGAACTATATATGGTTTTCATATTGCAGCTAGTGACATTCCACTTGTGAAAGAGGTTGAAGCTTTGATGGATCCAGCAGCCTTTTGTGCTGTGCGGTTTGCTCTGGCAGCCATCCCATTTTTGCCATTTGTGTTTCGGGCACGAAATGATGTTCAGACGCGCAATGCAGGGATTGAGTTGGGATTCTGGGTTAGTCTAGGCTACCTTGTTGAGGCACTTGGACTATTAACATCCGAGGCTGGGCGTGCATCATTTATTTCACTCTTTACAGTAAGCTCTTTAGCTCGTCTCACATATTGATCTTTCTACATTCATTAGACGTGTTCTGTAGAAATGGAAGTAGATTGTTGAAAGGATTATGGGAAGCTTCAATAATTCTCCCAAATAGGGTCAAAATATAGATGCTTTGTTGTGTAGGTAGGAACTCTCCAATTGTCCCCCCAAAAAAAGGCAAAAATAAACAAAGGAAAATTGTAACCAAGTATGCTTAATTTATTTCATACAATAGATTACTAACAAGGTGCTGCACCATTCTGTTGAAATATATCTCATTCAAAATCATTGACATGTTATTCTTAATTTTCTGTTCATAATAAAAATCAAATGATCCGTATGCAGCAACCTGTTGTTCTGTGATAACATGAGTACAGTTTTAATGAAATTTTGCTCAATTAAACAGGTGATTGTGGTTCCGTTGCTTGAAAGCATGTTGGGGTCAATTGTACCTGCTCGCACCTGGTTTGGAATTCTCATGTCTGTCCTAGGGGTTGCTATGCTGGAATGTAGTGGATCACCTCCGAATGTAAGCTCTTCACTACATTTCTCTTTTGAAAAAAATTCATATTGTAACTTGGATAATGTCTTAGAAGAAATGGTTCACGTTAAGTATGTCCATACACTCGTTAATTCTTACAAATGCTCACCATTTTGAGCATATCATTTTTCAGATTGGAGATCTTTTGAACTTTTTGAGTGCAATATTCTTTGGCATTCACATGCTTCGAACGGAACATATATCAAGAAGCACAAAGAAAGAGAACTTCTTACCACTTCTTGGATACGAGGTTCTAAGTTTTCCTTGAACAATCCATATCCTTTAAATTCTTGTCAACTATTCACTTCAGCATGGTGAAAAAGGTTTGTGATTTCATATAGGTTTGTGTTACTGCTCTGCTATCTGTAATATGGTATCTAGTTGGAGGATGGTTTGATGGTGCCCAAGATTACAACGGACTGTCTTGGGCCGTGGTGTGGGATTGGATGGTTGTATTTCCGTGGATACCTGCACTCTACACTGGTGTATTCTCAACTGGATTATGCTTATGGGCAGAGGTGATTTTCTTCTAATTCTCAGTAGCCTATTTTTCCTTAAACATGGTTATGGGCTATATAGATGAACCAATATCTCAGAAATCAATTTTCATTTTTGATGGAATTTGTCTGGACAACTAGAGCCTGTTTTGACATTAGATTTTACTTTTGGTACAGATTGCTGCAATGCGTGATGTTTCAGCAACAGAAACAGCAATAATTTACGGGATGGAGCCGCTTTGGGGCGCTGCTTTTGCATGGTTTCTCCTTGGTGAAAGATGGGGTACTGCTGGATGGATCGGAGCTGCTCTCGTGCTGGGTAAATGCTTTGAGTCTTTCCATTCCAAGTTCTTTGTTTCTTTACTTTGAAATATTAAAATCAAACCTTAAAATTACAAAAAGAGTTCCATTTGGATATGTGTATTTGAAACAGAAGTCGCTGCATTTGACATAAATCTTCAACAGAACCCAGAGTCAGAAGTTTTACTTTAATTTATTATTCATTTAAATGAATCACACAGTGCTTGATAGAATGAAAAAATAGAATTGCATTGAAACAGCATTTTAGCATCCTTTTTTAGCAATTGCTGAAATTTAGTTTTTGTAATCCTTATAAAACATTGTTTCTTGTTCAAATTACTGCTCCCTCTGGAACTTGATTGTGCTATTATTCTATCGATGAAAGAAGGGCTTCACGTAATAGATCAATAAGTGTCTAAGGTGTAAATTTATTTTAATAAACAATAAAGGATTGTGTATCTTCTGAATTCAGATGAAACCTAGAACTTCTTCCATTTTAGTTTTAATTAATCAAGTCTAGCGACACAGTTTGGTTTAATACCGGGAAGGGAGAGTGAGAGTTGAAGATTTGTGCTTACTGATTATTTACTTATGATAGTTAAAATCCCTCCAAAGGTATGCTGAACAACTGGGCCTTGTTTGATTGCAGGTGGAAGCTTAACAGTGCAGATGTTTGGATCTTCTTGTGAATCGAGAGATGCTGGAATTACTACTGAAAACAATCAAAAGTTGCAAAACCCTCTCTCTACTTCACCACTGGTCATCAGCACTAGAAAGGATGTAATAGATATGTTAAAGAAATAAGCCACTTCACACTTGTGTATATATATATATATATATCCACGGCAATGTAAATGTAAATCATATTTTAGACTATGTTCCTCCATCCATTCTCCATCAATAGAAAAAAGCGTGAGATTTAAAGGGTTCAAGTCTGCTGGTTGCCGTTATGCTCTAATAGTTATGCAAAAATTAGCTCCAAGTGCCCATTTGGTTATCATGTTCGACTCTATATAAGCAAGGCAAACAACTCCAAAGTGGCTACATTGAAGAGTTTACACTAGCACTGCACCTATAGTGACAGAAGCACGGTGCTGGTTTATTCCGTGATTTCAAATATTTACCAAGGTTGTGTGTGTTCATGAGTATTCTAAAGACAAAATACATTGATGATAAGTTTAGTAGCATGAAACATACGTTTTAGTTCAAATTGGAAATTAATTTTTGAAGCATGGGTTTCATGCTTCTAAACGCAGCATGATAGAAAATGGCATTATTCTCCCCAGCCACTGCTGCAGCTTAGTGTCTACTGATCACAAATTCACAAGTGCAGCGATATGGTTTTGATGATATGGTGCAAAGGGAACTATTTCTGGGAGCCTGTAATGGTGACGCACGCCCTGGTGGTGGCAAAGGGTGTGGTGCTACTTTCTCATGGAAGTTGGGCAGTGCAATTTTGGTGGTGGAATCCAAGCAATAGAATGGAAGAATTTGAGCTACCTCATAATCAAATTGAAATTTTGATTCCACGATCAAATGACAACTATATAACAAGGTGCCCATCCGACCACAATTCAACTACATATAATAGATTCTCATGGACAAACATGAGATAGAATCAATGTATTATAACCTTGAACAAATTAGGGGTCATGGGTTCGCGTGATCACAAGTGTGGTGAATGCTAAAGATTATAAGTTTCCCTCCAGTCTTTGCCTATCCAGGCACGTCGCTAGCAATTACCATACTCCATTTTTATTCTCTAATACCAAGTTCATTGACTTAAGACACATATATAACTACTAAAAGAATGCGAGAGGAAGTCAGAGATCACTTCTTCTCGGCAATGAAAAGGCCCCATCTCTGCTCCCCTGATGAACTCCTGAGCAGCTTCGAATTCCAACCACCAACTATTTCATTATAGTCTTCCTGGAGATCATTTCAATAACAACAAAAAAATGTAATGAGAGTGCATGGCAACAAAGGAACACGATTAGTATCAAAGATGGCAATGCACTCACTTCAGAAAAGTCCTGGATGAATGCTTCCTTGTCCTCCTCAACCGCATTTAATTCCTTCTGCAGAACTTCCATAAACTGGAACACAAGCAAAGCTCTTGTTATATATTAATTTTACAACATTATTTGGTGTATTTCCTACCATTTGAGGTGATGGAAGGGACACATATTACAAGGAAAACATAGGTCAATAAGAACCTGATCAGTTCGATCCTCAGCAATGACCTTGTCAAAACCAGCATCTCTAAGCATCTGCGCAAATGTAAGAGATAGCTTGCTGTGTCAGGACAATTTAGACAGAGAGAGAGCAAACAATGTAAAATTTTCACATGTGAAAACAACCTGGCCGTATGCTTCCACATCATGCAGATCATATCCTCTTTGCTTAATATATTCTGAAAATTTGAGGGATGGAGGTCCAGCTCTTTTGCAGTAATCACTAATAAGAACTTTGCCTCCCGGCTTCAGCCACTTGTAAAAAGATTTAAATAGTGCAGGTTTGTCCTGAACATACACCATGTATAAGCCTTGTGAATATAGGAAACGTTAACCAGATAAATAGAAATAAAAGAAGAGAAATGAGGAAAACTTTACATTCAAGCAAAACTTAACATATAGAGTTAATACATCTGAACAAATATAATTAGCCAACAAACTGTTAAGAGTAGTCTTGTATTTATTGCAGTCTGAGATCCAATGGTCAGAATAAGAAGGATAAGCATGACCACAATGAGTAGCGTAATCGCTAAAAAGGTGTATGATTGAAGGTCTGTTTCCAGAAGAAACTGACAGAACACTAAGACATTCTTCAAATAATAATAATAATAATAATAATGAAGAAGAAACAGATCTACAAATAAATTAGAGAATTTCAGCTCTCTTTCTTCCCTCCTTAAAAAAAATAAAAATAAAACATAAAAAAAAAAATAAACCTTAAAAATTGATAAGAAAGGAATAAAGAATGCAATTTTCAAAAAACCATTCTTTATCACTCATTCTTCATTCAAAAGCGTTCATGCGAATATTCAAAACTCATAGAAGAAAGAGAGGCCCGTTACCTGAATGTGGAGAATGGTGTCACGACTGTAGATCACATTGAATGTGTTGTCAGGATATGTTTTCTTGGTGCAATCAGCAACCTCAAATTCAACTGAACATTTGAGCCCAATTGCCCTTTCAAGAGCAAAAGAAACCATATTTATGGAGAGGTCGATGCCGACTACATCAACATCAAAATTCTCAGCCATGTAGAAGTCACCTCCTCCAATGCCACAGCCCACATCTAGGACTTTCTGGCCAGGCTTAAGATCCAGCTTCCCAACAAATTCTTTCGTTGTATCTGCTCAAAAAAATAAATAAATCAATCATAGAAAAAAATATATATACAATAAAAACAGGAGAAAGTGACTGTCTTTCTACAGTAAAGCAAAAAATTAATTATGAAAAAAAAAAGCAAAAAATTCATATAAGACAGCCACAGCTACTTCTTATTAAGGAGTAGTTTAGAAAGAGAATAAATAGTAACCAAAAAGAACCCAAAGAAAAAAGAAAGTGTATAACTGACCACAGAAGTGTTCAAATTCAGTGAAAGATATCCTACAGGCACTTTTAATGCAAAATAGCTTGTGTGGTTTAAAGAAAATAACTCAAATATGGCACATTGGATGAGAAACATTCTACTAATTAGGTGAACAGTTTGATTTATAACTTTCTAATCATAAATTAATGTTTACTTAAATTATCAGGTTTTTTTTACAAAGCCAGGTGGAGAGGCTCAGGTTTCAGCATTGGTAAAGATTAATTGATATTATATATGTTCTTTTTCTTTTTCAATTATGTGCATCAGATAAGGCAGAAAATGAAGAGCACATGGTCAATGTGGCATACCAATCCCTCCTGTGCTCACGAAACCTTGTCCAAACACGCGTTCATAACGTAATATACCATTACATTTATATTGGACATTATCCAAGAACTGCTGGAAACCCCTATCATCTTCTGACCTGACTTTCTGCCATATCCAACAAATCTGCATCAACCAAAAAACATATTTGCATCCTTCAGCTTATTAGCTTAATCAAGATACAAGGAAGAAAACAAAAAACAATATGAAGAGCAACCAATTTTAGGCTACGTTTTGTATGGAGTAACTAGATGCGGTTAACTAGATGAAAATGAATAAGTAAAGTCATAATCAATTCTTTGACTAATCATTTTCAGAAAGATGTGTGCTTAGAGCTAAGAATATGAATATTTAAAGAAAAAGCTTCTTTGTTATTAATGAACCAAAAACGAGTTCATAAAATCATGTAAATCCTAATAACTCATGCTGCATTTGGTCTTGAGCATTCAAACTAATTTGATTATTACACAAATAATTATTGGGTAGAATTAAATGCGTAGGTGAAAAATCATGTTTGGTTGTACATAATAAAAAAGCAGTTTCTTTTAATTTTGCAGATTCGCAGCTTTAAGGATGAATATATTTAAGATTAAATCAGCCCAACACATGATTGTATTTTAATCAACTTATTGCTTAAATGCTTACAAAATACACTTTCAGTTTGTTAACCAAACAATTCTTCAATCAAAATATGATCTTGGAGTGTGACTAAATCAGCAAAACAAACACATGTTTAGTACCTGATTCTGATTTCTTTTGTTTCTCACATAAGCTCCAATGCATTTGCAGCTAACAAGAGAGAGTTCAAAGGAATTCCCAAGGGCATCATGCGTCTGGCATTCTTTGAAGACCTGCAGTACAATATCAAACACGAACATGTAATTTATTTATTTATTTTGGGTAACTACAAAGGGAAATGTACTTGAATGGCTTAATTTACACTAACCAAAAAAAAAAAAAAAAGGCTTTGTTTACATCCCGGCACAGTTTATAATAAATTACTTGTAACTATGATAACTAGGAACTATGAACAGAAAGTTCGCAATTATTAAGTACGACCTTTTAATATCAACACTAAAATTAAAAAATAACATGACATTTGGGAACCTGAGTTGGGATGATTCATCAAGAATTTTCTGGGTCATTAATAAATAGCCTCTATTGAGTTTAATGGAGTCAACTAAAGTAGAAACTTACTAATATAAATTTTAGTTCAATCTGTACACACTCGAATGTTCTGCGGTCAACTAAACTCCACACATGCCAATGAACCACAGCCATTACAATCACTTGTAGCATATGTGGATTGAACAAAAAATTATAACATAATACAACCAACAATATTCCTCCATAGCATATCTTAAAAGGAAGTGCTGATATAAGTTAAGACCTTTGTATAAAATCTGGGTTCCCGATAGTGGGTTGGGTTGTTCTTTCGCTTACAGTCTCCAGATTGATGAAAACATGATTCTCTGAAGAAAATAAACCCTCCAAGCTTTAACCATTTCATCATTCTTTTTGCAAGATTCTCAACCTGCAAGCAATGGAAAAGGATAAGTAAAAGTATTTAAAAAGAGACAAGATGTCCTATGTTATGATTACTATGAGCAGTGAATTGTATCCAATAAGTAGAAGTGTTCTAAGTAATACATGGAATTATGCTGGAATGGATCATCAAAGTTCAATTATATGCTAACAGAAACAGTCACATATTGAATTACCAGAAGGATACACCTTCAATCAACGGAAAATGATAAAGGACTAGCAGAAGTATGAGTAGAGAGACAAAACTGTCTTTTATTTTCATTATGTAAACAGTATTAAACAAGTACATCTTGTAAATAATAAATAGAAGAATTATGCCAGAAATGGATCATCAAACTGGTTAAATTATGTACTTACAGATGCAGTTCCAGGGTGGATATACACCCAAAAGTGTAGCAAAATGAGATAATAAAAAGGCTTAAGTAGAAATAGAAAGCACTGATACTGGGCATCGATACTGGGCATGAAGAGCCACACAACCAGCAAGAAGAATAACATAAGCAGATACATAGAAGAGGCAATGTTATCTTCTTCCTGGAGGAAAAACAATAAAAACAAAACAATGGCCACATCTTCCATTCTGATATAAAATTGTCTACTGCCAAACCAACATCCACTTCTTTACTTTATGAAAAAAAACCCAAATGCTCAACACAGGAATTCAGTAAAGATAGGTGGGATTTGACTCATGAGTTGGTTACAGGACTACAAAGCCATATAAATTACAACTGATAGTTTTTTATCATTCTCCATGAAGCATAATCAATGCTTTTATGATGAAAAGACTGAGAGGTCATTTTGTTTTAATCAACTTGTCTCTGGTTACAACGGTATAATTTTCCATATCATTTTGGTGTACCTTTTCCTTTCTTTTTATTTCTCTTGTTGTGGAGGGGTGGGAGGGTGACTAAAGTTTTTTTTTTTTCTTCCCACAGATGCTCATAACAAGAGACCATTCATTTCTCTATACGACAACACTATCTTAATTAAACGAAGTTCATCCATTTCCATATTGCATGCAATGTTTGTTATGTGGAAGGTTTAGTAGGAAGAAAGAAAGTTCACCTCTTTGTCAGAGAGATACATCAGTAACCAGTTTGAGAATATCATGTCCATTGATTCTGCAGAAATATTCAGGTCTGTAGATGTCACATCAGCGCACATAAACTTGACATTATTATAATGTCCATTGATTGTTTCATTCTGCACGGAAAAAAAAAAATATTTAAATCAAATAAATCAAAATGAAAAGATTGTAATAAACTCCACTCCAAAAGAGCATGACCAATTACACTTTGGAAAAACCGAAAATCTTCATTATGGTGAGGAACACGGATTACCTTCTTTATCACATTCTCAATGAAGTCCAAGGCTAGAACATTACCAGCCTCCTTAGCTAATTCACCAGTAAAACGGCCAATACCAGCCCCTAGTTCGAGAACTGATTTTCCTTGCAATGGTGGGAGCAACGAGAGCACCTATGAGTATGAACAGTTAGATAAGTTACAAATGTTTGACATTGACACATTACAACCACCAAATATATAAAAAGGTATATGTTTTTCTGTGTTGCTTGGGGGGTGCTGCTTAGTTACTCAGGTTCAGATGGTACTGAAATCTGATTAAAACATTACAGGAAGGTCCCCTAAAAGCAAATTAAAGTAGAGAAGAAAGTCCTCTTTTCTTCACAACTTCATTTAGCATACTTTGTGTCACATTTGCACTTGAAAATAATTATTCAAACAGTCGTCATCTTGAATAAAAAAAAAAGGGCCCTGATTTGACAGTTTTTGAAATGAAACACTAAACCTAAAGAGCTGTTACCTTGAGAGTACAACTAACCGACCAGATCCAGAACATGTTAATGCTGTGTAAGCTGAGTGACCAATTGTTTTGGGGATAATGTATTTTCTAAGGGGTCATTAATCGATGCAGTTGTAGTAACTTGGACAGTTAAACATGAGAACGTTGGTTCAAGTCCGAGCCACTCCGAGGGCAGCCACTTTGTGCAGATAATGACGAGGTTCCTCTTTTAAAACAAGTGATTAATATGGACCAAACAGAGTAATAGGAATTGTGTACACAAATTACTCAAAAAAGTATAAAATCTAACAATTATTTCAATGATAATTTTTTTGAATTAGCTTTCAAAATCACAGAATACTTTAATTTCAAAAGTATTTTTCAAAAGGACATTGCAAAATCACCTACATAAAAAACTTCAGGTTATACATTTTTATCTATCATCATACATCAACCATAAAACACTGCAAAACCAATAATGTAGCGAGCTACGTCTTTAAAAGCTTGTTGACATTCTTATAGTAACAGATCCATAATTGGATGACTATCGATGATATTTTAAAGCTCTGACATATTATAGCAATCCAAATCATAAATTGACTTATATAGAATCAAAGCATCTGCTCCATCCGTCAAACAAAAAAACCAACATTTGTAAGATAAATTAACGAAGAAATAGACATAATATATATATAGAGAGAGAGAGAACAGGTGTTTACTTCGGGTCTCTCTTCTTTATCGAGGTCAGAGGCTTTGGAATCGAGCATCATAGCCTCAACCGTGAGGTCCGCAGAGTGCTCAATCCAGTAGTTCTTTTGAACCTCACGTTCTTCTCCTACAAAAACATATAAATTTGTGAATCAGATAATAAGGCATTCATATACATGCATATATAGATATATAGAGAGAGAAAAGCTAGATCTCACCTTCCGCAGCCATTGTATATCAGCTTATAAGATATGGCGTAAAAGAGATAGATTTGAATTCAAAGGGATTGATATGATAATTGAAAATGCAGATAGAATGAATGTTGGAGATGTGGAATTTGGGGTGAGAATTGTTATTAAGAACCCTCAACGGCAAGGCGGGATCTAGAGAAGGTCCTCGATCTACGATTGTTGGCTCTTCCCTTCTGCTGCATCGGCCTCTCTCTCTAGTCCTTATATTTATATTTATATATATATATATATCGTTTTCTCTCGTCTTCTCTGCTCTGGTTCGTTGTCGTCGTACTCTGAGAGAGAGAAATGAATCTGAAATATTCACTGTGTGTATGGGAGAGAGAATGAAGACATGTTATTAACCGGCGAAACGGAAAGCTGGCTCGGGATCTGATTTGATAAGTCAAAAGTCACGTGAAGAATCGTTACTGCCACGTCACATTTATGTCATTCAAAAATATATTTAAATGTCATTGATGCCCTTCCCTATTTATTTTTTCTCTGTCAACATTTTAGGGTAAATTAGGTTCATCTACCTTTAAATTTGGACAAATGACAAACGAATAATTAATTAATATATTTTTTTATTTTAACCTCTTAAGAAATTTGACGCTAAATCCATACTTCGTATTTTCCTTTCGTTCGGTATTGATTAAATTTTATAGAATAATAATTTTGTTATTTTTTTTTTATATAAAATGTAATGTAATATAATATATTATTATAATATATGAACATTAAAATCTTCTTTCATCATTATTGAACAAATTTATAAAAAATAAAGGTAATAAACATTCTATGATCTACTTGTATTATTCAAACTTAAAGAATGATTAATGTAATTTATTCTAAATTTTACTCATGATAATATAAAGAAGTCCAATTCAACGTCATTTCAAAGGGTCGCCCAACACAATTCTAGAAGAAGTAGATCTCGAATATCATGAATAATAACCATTACTTCTCCATCAATGCCATTGCCTAATTAAACTGAAAATGAGATCGCTTGAACCAAATCAATTTCACTGGTTCGGATCGATGTTCCATAGTCTAAAAACTTCCTTTAATAATAATTGGGTCAGGTGCAAAAAACCTCTTAATCTTTGCATAGTACTTTCAAAATTGTGCGAAAACACTACTTGGACATTATATGACATAAAATAATGATGTAATATCCATTTTGTCATTTTATTCTTCTCAAAATGTCCAAGAAGGTGTGCACATTAACTATTTTTAACCCACTTTTAAGAATTTTTACACTTTTTTGAAGAAAAAAAAATTTTCTTTCCATATATTTCCACTAACAACATACTATCTCTCTTAAAAAAATATAAATAAATTTTTTATTACAATTGTCATATTAATGTATGGTATATCATATGGAATGATCGAAAACTTTAGTTTCCTTTTATAAGTATAAAAAAAAATAATTAAAAATAATTAAAAATAAAAATAAAAATAAAAATTATTCTTAATTTCATTTTAATATAGTTATCAATTTTCATTAAATATATAATTAAAATTAAATTAAATATACTTGATTAAATGTATAAAAAGTATACATTTGATTTTTTACACTTAGAATTTGCAATAAATTATCACAAATATATATATATATATATATATATATATATATATATATAATTCTTTACATAACAATAAATGGGTATTCAATCTTTATTGAAAAAGAAAAAAAAGAAATGGGTATTCAATCACCTGCCGTCATTATACTGTTCAAATCGCGATAAAACTATTTAGTTAAATCTAACCACGTTTCAATTAAATTTAACCATTAAGATCAAAACAATAATAGTTTTTAAAGTGCATCAAACACTCCTATAATATGTTGACTATCACACTCCTCATGCACTAAATGATTATTTTCGTCATTCCATAAAATGATACATTTTTGTAAAATGTGTATATTAGGGCAGTTTAGTCAAATTATAACTTAAATGTATTAAGAGATATTTATTTGCACCAAATTAAAACTTAAAAAATATTTTTCAAGCATACTGTTGGTGTGTTTTTGCTTGATCCAATAATAATTAGGCGGGCTTGAATCTTGACCCAATAATAGTTACGTGGGCTGGAGTCACGCCTTAAACTTCAATAAAAGATACAATAAGGGGTTCTTTTTTAGATTTTAATTAAGTTTTTAGATAATCCATAAGACTGAATAAACTGTATTTATCTAAATTTATCTTTCTATTTTTGGAAAGATGACACAGACATAACCGAAAGCCGCATCTTTTCCTGGGAATTATAATAATTGGACTTCGTTTCGATACAACACATAATTGTTTCTGACTTCGTCAGATTTTGATGAGAGCTACATGATAGAATGATGATAAAAGATAATATGATGCAGATAAAAAAAAAAAAAAAAAACACTCATTAAACATTATTATTATTAGATATCCCGACTTGGCCTATTTATTATTAACAATTGAATTTGTTTCGAATGTACTCTAGTGTGCTTACATGGATCCCATTTAAATATATCGCTAGCCAGAAATAATATCATTTTCTTTTAAAAATTAATGTCTCAGTTTGAAAATATAGAGCAAAAAGATTGCATTTTTTTTTTAAAAAAATATCCTTTAAATTTTGAAAAAAAATTAAATTGATGATTAGACTTATTAGATACTTGTTTGAGAAATTCAACAAAAGGACACGGTATACTAATTTAGGATGTAGATGATAATCAATTTGTTTTTTTTTTTTTTAAAGTGACTATGTCAACAATGAAAATGCAAGGGTAAAAAATCAATGATACTCCTATATTATAATTATATACTTATATTACATTTTATATAAAAGAATGACAAAATTGTCATTTTATAAAATTTGATTAAAAAGTTTGTTGGAAAAAAACTCAATAGATGTCGTTAAGCACGTGTGCCGAATCTTTAGAGATGGTCAAAATAATAAATATTGAACAATCTAATGTGTTATATATTTGCTTAATTGAATATGAGAACGCATAAAAGTTTGAGTTATCAATTGTAAGAACATGGATACTAATTAGTATTACTAAGTGTCAAATTTGTGGCAACAGATTAAAAAAAGCACTCTCATGGTAGACTTGTTCCTCAATAAACATGAATTTAAAGCTTGATATTGACGGATTAATTAATTCTAAATATATATTTGATTCAAAATTTGAGATGCATGATAAGCATGAAAACAGAATCAATTCAAATTTAAATTATCATAAAAAATTAAAAATAATGTAAAACAACTTATTATCACATCAAGCATGTTATAAATTACACGTCAGACTAAGCTTTTATTAATTTAAGCATAATATTAATGACTTATTAGTTTTAAATCTACAACAACTGATTCATTTATTGACTTGGATGATAAACATGAGAACAACAACTTAAAGATTGGATTTTCAAAGTCTTTACACAAAATTTTTATAGAGATAAGAATACGATTAACTTATTGTTACTGATAGAAATAGATAAATCTCAGTATGTAATCACACACACACACACACACACACACACAATGAATGTTGAATATATCAGTACACTGAATTTGAGCCTGAGTAAATTAAAGGGAGGGGCACACTGCATCCTCTACCTATTCGTTACACAAACCGACACCCACCATCCCATTTGTATTTGGCAAATGTTGTTTTTATCGATGAATAAATACTAAAAGGACAATTATTTTGCGTCGTTTTGTACAACAATTTGATCATGGTCACGTGGAGTACTATAAAATATTTAGCTGTAAAATTAAATATCTGCTATTTTTTATTTTTTATTATTATTTTTTTTTGACACCTAAATACCTGCTATGGTACACTAAGATTCGGTCAATGTTTTTAATTTTTATGCCATTGTATTTCTTACACTTTTATGCCATGATTTTTAGGGGCATGATACCGCCAAATTATATTGGGCCGATCATAAACACTACAAACTCATTGTTGGCCCAAATCCAACTCAACTGCACCCAATGTCCATGTCATGTATCCGATATTTCAAAATAAAAAATAAAAAATAGTTCCTGATGTTCCATTTGGTTGGAGGAATGGAAAAATGGATGGAATGGAGAGGGAAAGAAAAAAAATGATAAAAACCAGTCACTAATGCTCGATTTGGTTGGAGAGATGGAAAAATGAATGGAATGGAGAGATGAATGGATGGATGTGAAATTTTCAAGGAAGAGAAATATACACTCATTATATAAAATTAAATTTCATTTCAAATTTTTTAGAAGGTTAAAAATGGAGATTACATTTATGTGTAATTATCCCTTATTTGTCTCTCATCTTCCTCCCAATTTTGGGGTGATAGAAAAATGCAAAGTAAAATGGATATTTTACTCTTTCATACCTCCTCCCTCATTTCCCTTCCCCCCAATCAAATACAAAAATATTCTTTTATCCCCTCTTATCCATCCCTCCTCAATCATTCCCTCTAGCCAAACATATCATAAGGGCAAACAGAAACCGTTTTTGTTTCGTGTTTATTGTGGATAGCATGTTATAGTAAAGCAAAACACCGAAACGCATTTGATAACTTTTGTTACAATTTGAATAGTATTGCATTTCTGGTCGAAAATAGGTCCAAATCATTAACACCAAATTCATATATATATACTAGTGGCCCTTTTCACTAGTCATTTTGTTTTTCAATCTTGCAACATTTTTTCACTAACACATGTTTTGATATTTTTATTTCAACTAAATATTATAACAAATTTTATGTTACCAATCATGCTTCTAATTACTATTCAACCCACAACAAAAAAGTATATTTTTGTTTTGAATGAAAACAAAAACCCAAAACTAATAAATCGCTTGCCAACACCCTACAAAAATGACACATTTTTTTTCGCATGGTTACTAATGTCATATCATTTGTTCTTATTGTTATTTATTGTCTGGTTAATTAAGATAGGGGTCACATGTTCACACTTTCTAGTTGGGCCATTTACATGATGAAGTTGAGACAAGCATGCCTATAAGTATTTCATGAATTGGGTCCGTTTTTAAAAAAAAGTTCAATCTGTAACTGGCATAAATGCGTGGTCACACGCCCAAGTATAGTGGGATATGTCGGGACAAACTTAGGAATAACTTTTAGTACATGGGCCTGAATTGGGCCCAAATTGATTTTAGGGCTCAAAGATTATTCTTAAGGTGATGTTCCGCCGGAGTTGGACCCAAATCGCACAAGCTACAACAACACGTTGTCGGCCCAAATCCAAATTAAATGAAACCAGATACAACTGTCCATGTCCTTTTTCTGCCTCGTACCAAAATTAGAAAGTCACTGCCGAAAAAAATAATAATAATAAAAATAGCACTCCCTAATATCGTATTATAATTTATTTAATAATAAATTT